TGACTGTCACCGCGGAGGAAGAAGGTTTTGAAATGAAATGCGGTTTTTCTGGAAGAAAAATATTTGTGTTTTTTTTGGTCATTGTTGAATAACTTTTACAACTGCGCAGCATCTAAAACACAGCTAATCAGTCCAGCTTCGAAAAGCAATAAATAGAAACTCGCGGAATAAAAGTGAACTAAGACCATCTCTATCTAGCATGTGCCCCAATAAGAGCATTTATATATGACATAGCTAGATTCTATGTACTTATCAACCTCGCGTTTGTGTTGCGGCATTTACCAAATTTCCAAAAATGTTGGAGAAAGTTGAGCTGTTCATGTCACGCTAAATATTTCTGTTGCCGCAAATTCTCCATTACCACGATCATTCTCACAGCTAGCCTCGTAGCTGAGCTGGCCTACTACATACATACAGTCATACATATACTTTATTTATCCTGGCAATTTACAGAGTAGCTCAGTGTAGAGCTAATATCTTCGAGAAAATAAGTTATAGAAAGAAAACGTAAAATAAAGTAATATTAAAATATGCTGTATCACATATTACTTCTAAACTAAATACAATATTATGCATGCAGAGGGAAATATCACTAGATCTACTGTGGAAAGGCTTCATATTTGAGGATCTCCTGCTTGTATTGTAGAAAATCTGATGTTTTGTAAGTGTCTGGGAGAGAGTCCCATATTTTGCTAGCTACGTATGAAAAAGAGTGCAGACCGTAAGTTGTTGTTTTTGGGTTGGGAAGGGCCAGAATATGATTATCTCGCAAATTGCAGGATGAAGACCGTACGGTGAACATATCTTTTAAATAACCTGGATAATTAGCAAAAAACAGACTCTTATATAGTGTAATCATGAAATTCTGCAGGCATCTAATGAATAAAGATTTTAAGTTAACTTTGCTGAGTAAAATGTCATATGGAGAGCTGTAGTCCTGTAGTATAAACCTAGGAATACGCTTGTTCAGATTATCTAATTTGTCGGTATTGCGCGCACCACAGAAAACAATTTGATTATTCGCTCTCAATTTAAATAGAAACTCTTACCGAAATGATATCCTTCGGTACGGTTTGCTGCAGCCCCAGGGGGTCCCGGAAGTCCTCTCCTACCTCGCTTTCCCTGGGGACCGGTTGAACCTTTACTTCCTTTACTTCCTTTCCTTCCTCGTGGGCCAGTACGGCCAGGTGAGCCGGGAGAGCCTGGTGGGCCGGGAGGGCCTGGTGGACCGGGAGGGCCTGGTGAACCGGGAGGTACAACTCGACCTGATGAAATCAATATACACGTTCATATAGGATTAAAAATAAATGTAGCGAGGACTTCATCGATGAAAACTGTGATGATCGATTGATGTTTGTTTATGTAACTCCTTATGTATGTGATTTGAGTGACATCTTTTCCGAACCTAAACATGGTTCGTGTCTAATTTTGGGACAGTTGAAAATGATAAATTTTTAGCTATGTTTTTGCTGGTTTTAAAATGCATTAGGTTTTTTTTTTGCGGATTGAAAACACCTTACGTTGAACTGTTCCTTAGACTTAATTAAAGGAGCTTCATCGCGGTTTGCCCATCTGGAAAAGTTAAGCGTAAATGTTTCAAGTTCGTCGTTTGCAATTCGTGTAAATTTCTCCATCTTTAGCCATCCCTGTTCCTTTATCGTTTATTATCATCTCTTTGGTGTTTTTCTATCTCAATTACTTTTTTCAGGTTTCCTTCAATTTTAAGGTAATTTTGTAAGTGGCTAAAACAACTCAAAATGCCGTGACTACATGAGTTTCTTTCAGCTAGTTTACTACCTACATCCTGATAAGATGTATTTCAGTTTTAATCCGATTAAAGGATTAACGTTGTTTAAAATTTTAAAAAACTTTCTCTGGTTAAAATAGTTTAAAATTACGAGCTTTCGATTGCCAGTCTGTAATCTTTGACAATTAGTGAATAAAAAGCGCGAACGTTGAAATATGTACGGTAAAAATTGTGAAGTAGAAAAAAAAATCAATTCAATTTACAACAATAAATTTTTAGTTACATCAGATTTACGTTATACCACCATAATCAACATTTCAAAACGTCGAAATTTTTTTTGCATTGCTTCGTTTTTAATAGTACGTTGCAGATAACCCGACACACTTTTTCAGGGTTGTTGTGAATTTAATTAATGTGAATTTAATTAATTTCAGTTTGTCTTGCCTTTGTCATCATTCATAGCTATCCGACGGTCAACTGGCAGCACACACATATATTTCCTTGTGCTTAGTTTTGTGGTTCGTTTTGTTTTTAACAATTTTTTTCACCATAGTCATGTTTGGGCAGTCTAGCTGACCTCAATGGAAACCTCCAGGAAAGTTTAAGTTCCGGCTAGATTTAATAATTTTCAATTCCCAACGTTTTCATTGGCTGACTATCCCTTGTTGTGCCTGGCGGCTTTTGTCCAAGCCGTGAGAACTAACTTGTGGAAAAAGACCTCGGTAAGCCTAAACCGTGATGTCTAGAAATTTGTTAAGAAGTATTTAATAGGAAACCTTCGAGCCCAAGTACAATCAATAGCAGTAGAAGTGACTGGTTTAACAGAACCCTTGCTACAAGAGGCTTAGTTTCCCGCCGATCCCGAAACATTTCGTGGAGGCCGAGTGGTCTGCGCGTGGGACTCGCAATCCAGCGGTCCCGGGTTCGAGTTCCGCTCTGACCGCTGCCTGGATTTGTTTTACGGTAGCCCCGAGTTCAGATCCTCTGTCACGATTGTAAATAGCCAACTGGTTTGCCTCCAGCCAGTTGGGATTCGTAACAGTGTTATGTTCAATGTGAATTATTTGCTTTAGTTGTTTGCGCGGCCCCACAAAAGGATATTTATTTAAGGGTTTTTTAATCCCCAAGCGTTTCATCGCCACAGGAGAACCATCTGGTACCTGCATAGTGGATATAAATCATACCTTTCACACAAACAATCTTTTCCAGCTGACTTCCTTCCTCTGTGCTATTCTGTTGATTGAACAAAAAAGTGTTCAAGTTTGTTTGAACTTACCATTAATACCTGAGAGGGAAAGATCATTCTTTTTTTCAGTTCGACCTTGACAATAACGCCGAAATGGAAAAAAGGCTGGTCAAAAACATGATTATAGGCCATGTGAACTTGAAGCCTTCTCGGTTTCTCGAGCTCAGTGGGAAGCAAACAATGTTATTATTCATGGTCTCCGCTAAAACAGTCATTTGAACACAAACCTAGTGAAATACAGACTTGCAAGTCGAATATTCGCCACAAATTAATCACAAATTAACATTAGGTCTGTTGGTGGGTTAATTTAATTTGACGAAATCCCACGCAAAGGTATAATCTTTTCACACATTTTACAAATGAAAAAGCCATCATGCATTCTCTACACAAATCTTGGTAGCTATTCAGCGCTTCTTTTCGAAAATCAAGGACTTGGAAATAAGTGATCGATGTCCGGGATGTTTTCGGAACTATTTTCGCCATTCAAACACTGGAATTTGATTCGTAACCGAGTGTTGTGAAAATGATTTTGAGAAAATTACGGTACACCATGAAATAGAAAAGGAAGTTAAGCGGATAACCTACAACAATGCCATTGTCTTTCATTTCAAAGCAATTCAGATATCACTTCTGACTGTTATCATCAAGTCCAATATATTTTTTAAATTAACTTCTTCTCTTGATTTTAATCGAAGTTTTTTTTTTTGTCTGTACATTTTGACCTTTGACGAAAAAAGGCGTTCGATTTTGGTTACCTGCACGCAATCAACATAAAATGAACAAAGACAAATTTCCACTTTTCACTTTTCCTTTTGACTTACTTACAGAAATAAATCTACTGAGTTATAATTTGCAAGGGAATATATTAAAACCATAAGTACCTCAAAAACTGCGAAACGAGACGGAAGTCACACGTACTAAAAATCTCGAGCTCCTTACCTTTCGAGACCCATTTGAGTTTAAACAAACGCTGTGACAGTCGCGACACTTGGATGATCCATCGACGACCCTTTTGAAGAGATTTCTTCTTTTGTCTTCATTTAGAGGTGAATTTGTAGAGGTTGGTTTAATAAGCCCATGATTATCAAGCCGATACGGATGATTTAAAACAAG